TTGACGTAGATCATGAAAACATGATAAATAAATGGAGTGATCTCAAGCACAACCTTAAATTTGTACTTGCCATGGACATGAGTTGGGAGCCCTAGCTGTGGCCATGTGGAAAACTGATATCCACCACATTGTTACATGTGTGAGTCCTGGAAGATGTATGCTTTGTGCATCTGAACTACAGCTTACCTGGGCCAGGGATTTAGCTCAGTGGAATCGTGCCTGCCTTGCAAGTGCAAGGTCCTGAGTTCTAGCTCCATGTCTTTGAATTCTTTGCCCCTCAGGTTCAGTTTTTAGACGGCTGGTTTCCTTCGTCTTTTATCTAAGGATATGGTTCAATTGAATTAAGCATTCCTCAATTATCAAGGCACCAAAAATAAAAACAACTTATTTCTGGGAATAAAATAGGAAAGTTAGCAATGACACCAGTGCTCCCTCCTGCTCATTCTAACTCTAATTTCAAAGTAGAAAGAAGATTCTCAGATCTGGACACTGGGTGCTGCTGATAAAGGACAAGAAAACAATGGTCAAGCTGAACCAAGACTTGGCCATTGCTCAACTCTGATTTTTATTCTTACTTTTGTTAAGGAAATCAAGAGGCTGGGCCTTAAATAATCTAAACAAAATAATAATAATAATCTAAACAAGCATGATATCCCCCACATCATAACTAAGCTTGGAATTTGGTCTTCAACATTCAAGTTCCCTGCCCTCCTCTCGCTCAGGAATGTAAAAATAGAAAGTGGAGCAGCCCACCAAAGGTGCAAAGGCAATGGAAATAGCCTAGGAGAAGGGAGAGGCCAAGGGGGAAATTCCTCCCACTTTTCTGTTGTCTTCTTTTCCCAATTTAATGAATGTGTACTACTTCATTCCTTTTCTCAATTCAGTGGTTAAAGATTATGTGCTCCTCCTATTTTTCAAAATCACCATCTCTTTTTTTTTTTCTTCAAAATGACACAATTGTAACAGTTTCTCCATGGTTCATTTTCAAGGAAGAAATCTGACTTTTGGGGGGGGGGGGGTACCAGGGATCGAACTCGGGATCTTGAGCTTGTGAGGCAGGCGGCGGAAACACTGAGCTAAATCCCCAGCCCAACCGGCTCCTTTCTTTTTTTTTTGGTACTGGGGATCAAACTCAGGACCTTGCAATTGCAAGGCATGTGGCAGAACCACTGAACTAAATCCTGGGCCCTCTAAATTTTTTTTTTTTTTGGTATCGGGAATCGAACAGGAAAACTAGTGTAGGTCACTTCCCTAGGTACTGTCAGTGGGTCTTGATTTACTACCCTTTTCCCTCAGTAATCAGCCTCCCTAACTATGGCAGGCCAACTCCAGCTGTGGCCCTCCTGTGGACCCCTCTTCAGTGCCGACTGTATGCACAGGATCAGGCATCAGCTCACAACTTCCCTTGCTCCTCTGCCCAAGTGACTCTCTGCCCACACACCAGCTCCTCCTCTTCTCACAATGAGCCACCTCCTGCCCCTCCAGCCTCCTTTATTCTGCCCCTAGGACTGGGCACAAACTGCTCATCCTCTGCCAATATAGCTGTGGTTTTCAGTGTGTTCCCTGAACCAGCAATTTCAGCATCCATGGGAAACTCATTAGAAATGCACACTTTTGGGCCACACACCTTTTGAACCCTAACTCCAGGGTATGGCCCAGCAATGTCTCAGTAAGTCCCTCCAGGTAGTTCTGACTCACAAGAAGTGTGAGAGTCACTGCTCCACAAACTTCTACACCCTGCTCCCAGCTTCCTATGCTGAGAGTCCTCTTCCTTTCCTTCCCACCCCTCTCTGTCCCATTGTGGAGAGACTCCTGTGGCCAAAGTTGCCCTGTTGTTCCCCTGTGCCACTGTTCTTGAAGCAATCCTCACCAAATGTAGCTTGTAAGCAAACCTTCAATGTTTTTGTAACTTATCAGACCACTTGTCTGCTCCTTACTGAACATTTTTAAATTTTATATTAATACAATTCATCCTTTATCCTGTTCTTAAAGAATCTATAAAATCACATGTAACACACATCTTATTTTTTTATTCTATATGTAACAAATTTCCTTTCACTCATGCTACACATGTGAATGCTAGAATATTAACTCTGGGGCCAGGGATTTAGCTCAGTGGTTCTGTCGCCTGCCTCACAAGCGCAAGGTCCCGAGTTCAATCCCCAGTACCAAAAAAAAAAAAAAAGAATATTAACTTACTGTAAAAAGTTGCACTACTTTTAAGAACTTTCTTGGGCTGTTTGCCACATGTACATGTTCCACAGGGATTTATAATTTCAAGTTCTTTTCAATACATGATTTCATTTGTACTTCCTGGCAGCACAGGACAGAGAACAGTCATAATTCTCTGTATTTCATATACAAGTAAACTGAGATGCAGCAAGATTAAGTAGTTCTCCCAGTCATAGGGAAACAGATGAAGAAACTAAGATCCATGGCTTCTTGATGTTTCCTACATCCAGCACCAAACATCAAACCCCCTTTTCATCATCACCTGTGAATGTCATGTGAATCTGAACTATTATGTTCAGCCTCTAAAAAGAAAAAATGGAACGTGCTTAAATGAAACCACAACCTCTCATTTCTGGGAGCTTCTGAAATTAAGAAATGTCATCATGGAATATCCAATGAAGACTATTTGGCTTTTTAAATTGAATTGAGAGCAAATAAAATGTGAATGGCATTTCTTTATAAAACTATGGTATTTGTTTTTAGGTTGAAACTTTCTTGTAACAACAATTGCCAAACAGCTCATCAAATACCACAGCCCTGATGCAGAGGTTCAAGTTGGATAGATCTCCTAAAGAACACCTCTTTGTAAAGAGGATAGGGTTTGTCTAAGGGTGGCAGTTTCATAGTCCCATGAATAGAATCATCTGCTCAGATTAGGACCTTCCATAGCACACTCACATCTGTAGAAATGAACAGAATATTGAAACCTCATCAGAAGAACCACCTCTGACTTCCTCGTGCCAGTTATGCTGACTTGCTTCTTTTGGCTCTGAGATGACGCAATCTGACAGGTCAGAAGCTTTTTGTTTAATCCTTTTCTTTTTAATTCCTATATTTAAGATGCTTAATTTTGTGATTTAAATTAGATATAATACTTGTAATATATCCACACACATCTCGTGTTACATATATAATGATGTTTCAGTGAACACGATGTATATATGGTGGTGGCCCCAGGAGATTACAACAAGAAATCCCCATTGCCTAGTGACATCGTAACTGTCATACACAGAGCAATGCATTATTCACATGTTTGTGTTGATGTTGGTGTAAACCAACCTACCTTCCTGCTAGTTATATAACATAAACACTTCTTTATAGTATATAACACTTGATAATGATAATAAACAACTATGTTACTGGTATTCCATCATTATTTTAGCACATACACTGGAAAGCAGTATGCCATGTCACACTGGCAGCAGCTCATACATCTCCCGTTTACCTCCTGTATTGATGGCACCAGGAGAGTTCATCAAGTATCAAGTGACCGACCTAGACCATCCAGGCTTCTCCAAGTACTCTATGAAGTTCACAGAATACCAAAAGCATCTAATGATGCATTTCTCAAAACATGTCCTCGGGCCGGGGATTTAGCTCAGTGGTGCCGCCACCTGCCTTGCAAGTGCAAGGTCCTGAGTTCAATCCCCGGTACCAAAAAAAAAAA